CTACACCACCACATGATAGACGAGTTGTGGAGACAGCTCTCCCACTCTCCCAACGTTGGGGCTGGCTCACCCACATCTCTGTCAACAGGTTTGGCTCTATTGTACTGCCCAGGTGAGGTGCAGGGCCTGGTATATACTTGCATGCATGCATACGTGTGTGTGTGTGTGTGTGTGTGTGTGTGTGTGTGTGTGTGTGTAGCAGAAGAAGCCATGAATTTGAGAGGAAATGGGGAGAACACGAGGGGTTGGAGGGAGGAAAAGGAAGAGAGAAATGATGTAAATACAGTACATATGTATGAAATTTAAAAATCAATTAAACAAAAAAGAAAGTGAAATAAAGTTGACTTAGAAGCATTCCACATGTTGAAATTAACCACTCAACCATTGTATTTTTCCAGCCTGGAGCCTGTCTGTTTTATTTTGCTTGTGATATCTGTTACTGTGCAGAAAATATTTTATTTTATCAAGCCACATATGTGGATAACTTTCTTGATGACTTGTCAGCTTTGTGTATTACTTGGTGTTTCTGTATTTACATTCTCATCTTCTGTTAGAATCTGTTCAACTTTTATAATCTTGATTTTTTTTGTATTTCAGTCTAGATTCCTGTAGAACTTATTGGGTTCAGGGGTCACATGGAGGATGCATTTTCCCCTGGGGACAACTTTGCCTTTCCAACACTATGCACTGAAGGAGTACTTTTTCCAATTTGGTTTGAAGCACCATCTTTATCCAATAACTACTTTCCAGAGGCATTTGTGTTTATTTCTATATTCAATTTTTATTAAATTGAACTGAAATTTCTACACATGGGCTACTATCCAGGTAATCCTGTTGATTATTGTGAATTATTGTGTATTTTTTTACTAAAATTCCTTCCCTAGGAGAGATACGGACATTTACCTCTGCCACCTAGGGTCCTAATGACAAACAAAATTATAATTTTACCATAGTTCATCCTGGGGGAACCAGTGGGTGTACTGGGCTTACTTAAAGAGCATTGGAGAGGGTGCCCCAAAGGAACACACTTGAAGGTCTTTATCCCCACAGCCATGCAGACAGAGCCCACACCCTTAGTCATTCCCAGCCTATATACTTCAGCACCTCCTGTAGATCCCAAGAACACCTGTAAGTAGAGCAAAATTACACAGAAATGACTGATGGGAGAAGTGGCTAGATACTCAGGTGAGGGTCCAAGGACTCACCTTAACCCTCTTCTAGGAGGGAATAGTGACAGTCCACATGGCCACTCCTGATGGATCATAGTAAGGAGGCACAATGAGTTCATGAAGACGGAAAACTTGCTTGGTTGAAATAGTGTGTGTGTGTGTATGTGTGTATGTGTGTGTGTGTGTGTGTGTGTGTGTGTGAGAGAGAGAGAGAGAGAGAGAGAGAGAGAGAGAGAGAGAGAGAGAGAGAGAGAGAGAGAGAGATCTACACAGGTTCAGTAGAAGTACACTTTAAAAACGCCTGCTGCGGCCTGTGGAATTGTGGAATACACAGGCCCAGAACCCATGGACCTGGAGGGCTGACAGCAAAATGTTTTGCATACAAAACCTCTAAAATAAATAATGCTCTTTATAAGTGTGTCATCTCTCTAAATGTCCTGTAGTGGTGACCTAGTTTGTGTTTTTTTCTCTTTTTTATCAGACTTTATAAATGTAGCACTTCCTAGTGCTACACTGTTTATATATACACACACACACTTGGCACTCTTCAAGCAATCTTAGGGCTCTCCCTGTAGATGCTGCCGAGATTGACTCTGGCCCCAGTACAAACATTCCAGCATGGCATGGCTAGCTCTTGGCCCCACCCAGCCCTGGAGTACTTCCAGGGCACATGCTCTTCAGTGTTGCTTGAGTTTATACAAGACATAAAAGCAGGGACTGGGCGGTTAGCTGGCTTAGCTGGCAGAGTGCTTGCCAGCATGCAAAAAGCCCTGGGCAGGAAGTCCTGACTTGGGTCTTCAGCATTCCATAAGCTGGACATTGCGACATACGTCTGCAACACCAGTACCTGAAAGGTGGGGGCAGGAGGATCCAAGTTCAAAGATAACCTCAGGTGCATAGTGACTGCTAGTCCAGCCTTGGATACATGCTATCCTGTCTCAAACAAAATAAAACAAAGCAGCCTTTATTGTTTAGAACAGTTTTAGTTTGCATAAAGCTTAAATATTACTATGGACTTCCCTGTATCCCCATTCTTTTCTTAATGCCTTACTTGGTTCATTTATTGCAACCATGCCTCCTTCCCAGTTTCTTGCTGGAATGGTTTTCTGTCTTAAAAATTATTTTAAAATGATTTAATGTGCTGTGTGTGTTCATGTGTGGATTTGTGTACAAGTTCAAGTGTCCTCAGAGGCCAGAAGATGGCATCAGATCCCCTGGAGCTGGGGCTGCAGATGGTTGTGAGTTGTCCAATGTGGGTGTTGAGAACTGAACTCTGGTCCTCTGCAAGAGGCATGTCCCTGCGCGCTCTCCCCCTCTCTCTCTCTCCCTCCCTCCCTCCCTCTCTCTCTCTCTCTCTCTCTCTCTCTCTCTCTTCCCCCTCCCTCTCTCCCTCTCCTCTCCACGCTCTACAATTCTTTAGGACCACTCACTCACTGTTGTGACTGTGAAGTAACTCTATGGGTAATACATCTCTAATTTACAAATCAATATAATGATCTCTATGATAGCAGAGGAACAAAAGTAGCACCATACATAATTGATGTGCATTTGCCATGATAAATGACCACTCAGGACTGTACTGGAAGTACTCACATGTCTGTTATCTACATGTGATTTAGGAGCAGGAGGATGACACGACTCTAGGATATTACTGGCATTGTTTTTTCCCTCATGTTTAGTGTGTTGAAATAGTCTCTAGAAATATATTCATGAGCACACATGGAATCCCTTGGCCTGTGGCAGTTGTACATATGATGGACACAGATATGCTGATTGCTGACTCAAGATGTGTTGACTTGGAGCTGCCTTCAGTGTCTTAATTCCCCCAAATTAGGAGAGTTCTATCTTAGTTAGGGTTTCTGTCGCTGCAATAAAACACCAGGACCACAAAGCAAATTGAGGGGCAAAGGGTTAGTTTTGGCTTACATTCCCACATTGCTGTTCCTCACCAAAGGAAGTCAGGGCAGGAACTCAAGCAGGGCAGGAACCTGGAGGCAGGTGCAGATGCAGAGGCCATGGAGGGGGCTGCTCACTGGTGCAGAGGCCATGGAGGGTGCTGCTCTCTGGCGTGCTCCCTATGACTTTGCTTAGCCTGCTTTCTTATAGAGCCCAGGACAGCCTGCCAAGGTATAGCACCACCCACTCTAGGCTGGGCTTTCCCCCAGTGATCACTAATAGAGAAAATGCCTCATGGAGGCTCCCTTCTTTCAGGTAACTCTAGTTTTTCGTCAAGTTGACACAAGTTCCATCTCCCTGGTCTTACATGCTAGTTGTATTTCTAGAAAATCCTATGTGCATTCAAAAGATGGCAACATATTTCATGTTCACATATAAAACACAGTTGAAGTTCTAATGTGATTGGAAGCACATTTTGACAGAATCAAAGATCCAGGCTGGCTTACCCATATCTCGCGTGGCCTCAAAGAAAACACCTGCACTTCTCCAGAGTGTCCCCTAGGGGGCAATGCTGTTGTGAATTGTGTGGTTTTCTGAACTGGGAGGGAATGCTTGTGAAACATTTAGTAAGATGCGGGCACACCGTCTCCCTCCAAGAATACAACTAATATAATCTCCCAGTGAATCTGCAGGGGCTCGTTTGGAGCGGGGGATGGTGGCCTGGAGTATAAAAGGCAGGAGAAACTTACAACAGCTCTTGCTTCTGAAGCCGTCTTCCTAACGTTCAAAGTGCCGACTTGGCTCTGGTACCGAACACAAGGAAGCACGACAAGCCCTAGCTTGCTCGCCTTCACCTTTATATGTGTGATGCTCTGGAAACAAAACCAAGTGAGGAACCAGAACAACGATTCTTTTAGAGAGCCTGCAGCACAGCGGGTGTGTTTGGAGGCGCGGCGACCGCGGCGGGGGCGGGGGCGGCGGTGCTCCGGGGAGGGGGCCATGTCCTAAGACCTTTGGCCAGTTCTCAAGATCAATTGAATCAGAGAGCAAAGGAAAAAATGCTTGTTAAAATACCAAACAAATAAACGCGCACACACAGATTAGAGGTGGGGATGCTGCTCCATGCTAAGCCCCCCATGCCAAACCCTGTGCTAACTACCTGCCTCCTGTTCCCAGCACCACGGTGAGAAAAAAAAATAGGATTTTCAAAAAGCAGACTAAGGAGGGAATGGAGTCTAAAAAACACTCGCGCTAAGGTTTCAGTTAACTCTGTCGCAGTCTGTGACACCGACCTCCAGCACTGCGCAAGGCCTGCGTATTTTTGTTCTTGGTAGCCAGGTGATTCTTTGAGAGCCTTCGACAGGACATCCAATGGAATAACCTGAAACAGCCCCGCCCCACAATGCAGGATGTGAGAAGACAGGGGGACATTTGAAGCTTTGTTATCCAGGGCAGGCAGCATCAGAACCAGAGGGTACAAACTGTAAGCGTGTGTGTGTGTGTGTGTGTGTGTGTGTGTGTGTGTGTGTGTGTGTGTGTGTGTTGAGCCTTAAAGCTCAGCAAGCATGGTGTGATTCTTTTTCCTTTGGGAAAAGAAGGGGCTGTTGAAATGACCTAGTTCGATGCTTTCAGTTTATAGTTGAAATTATTGTTTTTAAAAAAAAAAACAACGAAAGGGACCTGGGATCACTCAGATCTAATCCCAACAAAATATGATCTCCGAAACCCCGCAGAGACGTTTAAATCCTACCCAGACTTCCATGTCACAGGCAGAGCGGAAACCAGAAAGGAAACCGGTTCCTCGGGAAAGAAAACGGGGTGGATTCCTTTAAATGGAGGAACTGGCATAGTTAGAGCACTCAGATTAAATTTAGAGACTGATATCAATCTATTGATAAAAATCTAAACTCGGATGTGAATGCCATCAAAAGCGTGCCCAATCCGTTAGGCAGCAGGTTCGCCTGTGAGTCTTCCCGGGCCGGCCCTGTGGTCCAGGTTGCAGCTTCGTTGGGGAGACCAGCCCTGCCGCGCAAGGGTATGAAGTTGGCAGGGTCAGAGGTGGAGAACGTAGGTGAAGGCAGAGGAATCTTCAAGGGGGACTGAGCTTGGATGCTCAGAGAGGGAAATGAGCTGGTGACAGATGGATGGAAAGGGCCCAGGGATAGTCGCAATGGGGGAAGCCACTGTTCCAGCAATACCTCCATCTAAATTGGTGGAGGGAAACTGGGAAGAGACAGAAGGCCGTTTAAAGGCAGGAGATACATGGGCTTGGGGACAGGTGAATTCCAATACCGGCCTTGGCAGGCGGGGACCAGGTGAAGTCCCTGTAGCCTGCGTGGACCCGCGGCAGAAAGAGGGACGAGCTGCGACGCTCTCGCTCCTGCCCACGCGCGGCCACAGGCTCGGACCACTGCAGAGCAATTAGGGTGGAAGGGTTCCTCCTGGGCACCGGTCCGCGACGCAAGTTGGGGGCGCGTCCTCCGTCACGCCCTCGCCCAGCCCTGCGCTAGCTTCAGTCTGGTCCCCACGCCCCCTAACAGTCCCTCAGCTTCCGCGCGCCTGGCCCGTCCGGGGCCCTCCCTCTCCACCCGCCTCGGTGTATCGATCCTGGTGCCCGGGCTTAGCGCCTCGGGGCGGGTCCCTGCCGCCTGCACCTGCCCCCGGGGGCGGAGCGCAGCGGCGACAGCGCGGCTCCAGCATCCGCCACACGCCCAGCTAGCGGCGGACCTGCCGCTCACCGCGGTCGGGGTGAAGCTCTCTCTCCGCGCCCTCGGTCCCTTGTCACTTCGGGACTCGTGTCCCTATCGCGAGGATCTGAAGCCCCGGCGCCATGGAGCCGGCCTTGAGCAGCGAGCGCCGTAGTCCCCCTGGCCTCGGAGTCCCGCGGCCGCCACCGCGGGGCCACGCGCCCTCGACTGCTGCCCCCAGTCCGACCCCGGTGAGCTCCTCAGTGCAGTCGGACGAGGAGAGGCAGCCGCGGATCAGTGAGAGCGGCCAGTTCAGCGACGGGCTGGAGGATCGAGGTGAGCTGCCACCGCCCTGGGTCCCCTCCCCTCCACCTCTCGGAAGCCACCTGTCCCCTGTAAGCGGGGGCTCAGCGCGGAGAGCAGAGAAGACAGTCTCGGGATCCCTGCGGACCGGGCAACAGCGCCTCCTGGGACCCCCTTTCAGGTTCCAGATCCCGGCGGGTGCCTTGTCGGGTGTCCGCGGGAAAACTTTGCAGACAGGGTTCTTGGTGGCTTATAGGGAACCGACGGGTTTCCTTTTCGTGCTGGGAGACGTGGGTTCTAATGCATCCTGCCCCGCCAGGCCCGCCAGTCACCCAGGGAGACTTCTCTATGATGGGTTAGTGGAGGGGCGCCAGGGTGACAGCCAGGGTCTCCTTAGCCTCTGCACTTACTCGGGCCCGACACTCCCCGAGGTCCTGGGTCACAGCGGTCACTGCCCCACAGCGTAAGGGTGCTGGCAGAGCGGTTGGGGTTTGGGGGCTCTGGCCGCCAATCGATGCTACCCAAAGCTGGTACTTCCTGGAGAACGTGTGTCCAGCTCTCAGAGTCCTTCCTTGGACGCTGGCCTGAAATCCGAGCATCTTCGCGGAAGGCATCTTCACCTCCCGCCCACATCCACGTCTCCTTAGGGGGCCTACATGGAATGCCAGGGCTATCTCATTCATCCCGCCTAGCTCTCCTTCCCCATCCTGCCCTCGTAGCCCTCGGTTTGCATTCTTTGCTTCTACTACACCTTTCCTCTTTCTTGCTGCTTTCGAATTGGACCCTTCGAAAATTATCAACGGTTCCGCTAAAACCGTTGGTGGCGGATTTGGTGTCTCTGCAGCGAGGCCCTTCCCAGGCCGCCGGCTCTGTACACCTCTACTCATTTTTTTTTTCTTGGAAGCTTTCATCTGTCGACTGTAGAGTGCCTATATTATTTTAGTTCCAGCAGGTTGCTGTCCTATTCTTAGTACCTTGTGCATCTTTACATTCCGGTTTCGTGTAGGGATGCAGGATCTCTTCCTTAGAGATTCCGAATTGTAGCGTGTGAAACAGGATGACATGGAAACAGATTTCCCAGAGAAGCGGCAGAGATGCTGTGCGGGAAACTGGAGCTGCTCCAGCTTGGAACGAGTTCTGCACCCTTTTTGCAGGTTCATTCTCCGTTCCCACAGAACTGGATAGCCTTGGAGACGGGAGAGTGGGTGGCATCATCAGAAACCCAGAAGAACCTCGCACTAATTCTGGGGTGTAAGAATTACCTTTACCCCGTGGTAACTCCTATTGCAAGATTTAAACGTTTTGCATTGAAGAAAGACTGATGCCCGGGGTTGGGCTTAATTCTGTAGCATTGCGGGTTATCTGTAAGAGCTGGCTAGCCTCTCCCAACCCCTGCAGAAGGACAGACAAGAAACCCATGCTAGTGTGAATTGATATTTATCAATATCTAGAGGCCATGCTCCAGCGTTAAATTACACAAAACCAAAACAAAAACCTCTTGTGATTATATTCTTTAGGTTTTCTGTCGGTGGTCAAATGAACTTCATTTTCTATTATATTGTCTCCTGAAAGCATTTGCTGTTCTCAAACCACTGCTGTATGGGCGCTTGCATATCACACACAATCTCTCTATTAGGATGAATTGTGTCCCCACAGAACCCAGGGTTCTATGCCATTTTTGAGCTAGCTTAAAGTCGCTGTGACATTTCTTTTGTTCCACCCATTCCTGACTGCAAAGAGTTAATGATAAATGAAGACTCCAGTTAAATAAATCAGAAACCTTCTGGGAGGTTGGTTATAATATTTTATATGTTTGTGTTATCTTTCTGGATCCATTTTCTTTCTACCTCTTGGGAATGGTTTTTGGGTTGTGGCCTCCTTCCCACCAGTGACAGGAACCTGGGGAGAGGAAAGCTCCCTGGTCTCCAGCTCTCCCTGAGTGCAGTGGCTTTCTGCTGGGCCTTGTCCCCACAGGGTGTGGGGGATGGGCGCTTCTGCTGCACCTTCCACACTATTTTTTTGTGTTGACTTACTTCTGAGTGGTAGAACCCCATTGCAGACCACTTCTTATCCCAATTGGAGAGGTTTTTTTTTTGTTTTGTTTTGTTTTTTTTTTTTTATAACTACTGGCTTGGGATTTTTGGAGACATTTTCTTCTAAGAAGTGATATGGGCTATTTCTCAGAATCCCAGGGAGCTCACAATGTCCTAACACTACTATGACAGCTGGCTGGGCCTGTGGTTCAGGAAACAAGCAAGCACTATGAGGAACTTCAGGAACACACACACACACACACACACACACACACACAGACACACACACACACACACACACAGACACACACACACACAGACACACACACAGACACACACACACACACACACACACACACACACACACAGAGGCCCAATTGATCTTAGTGGCTCCCTCTCTCCTTCTTTAATATCCATTTTTATGTCAGTTTGTCCCAAACCATAGGATACAGCCCCACCTTACAGAATTATAGACTTTATTTAGCACTTTCCTTTAGCCGCCCTTCCAATTAAAACAAACAAGCAAACAACAAACAGCAAAAACAACCTTTCTGCAGAGAATTAAAGCTCAATGGCCTGGTGTGGTGACTCGGGCCTAGAACACCAGCACTTGGGAAATAGGAGCAGAAGGATCACTGTGAGTTAACGGCCAGCCTGGGCTACATATCGAATTCTGGGTCAGTCTTGAGTGCAGAGTAAGACTCAACAAGATCAGTAAAAGTGGATAAACATAGGAGAAGTCAATGGCAAGTCGTTCAAGCTGCGAAGGACATAACATCTGCACATATATTTGCCTCTGCCTTCCTTCATTAACATGTCCCCCAGCACTGTCAGACCCACACCGTGGAATTTAAGTCAGGTTAAAATCCACTGTGGAAGCTGGAAGCTGGCTGTGGGCGGAGGCTGCAGCACTGCACATGAACCTGAGGTCTGCCTTAGTTTCTGCTGGGCTGGCCTGCCTGGCTCCCACCTGTGATAGGCTGCGGTCGGGGCTGCCACTCTACCCCACCTTTCTGTGGCTTGTGAGTGTGCTAGCTTCTGGCATGGATGCAGAAGAGCCCACGTGTTGACCAGTCGTTTCTGAACCCTTTTGGGTCATCACGTTCTACTCCCTTTGGGGGACGTAGAAAGTGCCCGTTCTTGGCATCAGCCATGCAGGCATCTATGCATGTATATGTTATTTGTGTGTGGGTGCCCATGTGTAGAGGGCAGAGATAACTTCAAGTGTCATTCCTTGGGAACAGATTCTCTCACTGATCCAGAACGGGTTCATTCCACTCCCTGGCTAGTGAACTTCCAGGGACCCAAGCACGCTCTGCCATTCCTGGGTTTTTATATAGTTTCTGGGACTTGAACTCAGGTTCTCATGTTTGTTAGGCAATTACTTTATCCATAAAGCCACTCCTGAGCCCCCCAGCTGCATCTTTAGAAAGGAAATGAAGAGATAAGCACAGTGGAGCGAAATAGAAAAGTCCTTCCTCTTTTGAAGTGTTTCCATTACAATGACTTCATATTTTTTTCCCTCCTCAACTTTACAGTCTCTCAGGGGAGCCACAAGGAAGGTCAGATCTGGGGAAGGACCTCCAGGCCTAGCTCAGAAAACCCAGAAGCCATGGTAGCAGGCAGTCCAGCCCCCTATGGCTTCCACTTGACTCTCCTGCAGGGAGTGCTGGTCCTGGTAGGAGGCCAGAGGAAGCACTTACAGGCAGGCATGGTCAGGGCCAGGTGTGTTGATGAAACCAGCCAGCTCTGGAAGAAATTAATGCTGCACAGCAGAATGGGCAGGATGTACCCAGTAATGGCTGTTCTCTGTGGAAAAGTAAACCAGCTTCTTAAAGGGATCATGTTTTTGTCACCACTGGACAAACCTCTTGAAATGGGTGCTGTCAGAACACCTGGCAAATGAACCATTCATTTAAGCTGCTGCTTAAGTAGTTTCACTTCTCCTGAAACCAATGGACCAGGAAGAAAGCATGTCTGTGTGTGTGTGTGTGTGTGTGTGTGTGTGTGTGTGTGTGTGTGTGTGTGAAATCACATGGGTGGAGGTCAGAGGTCACGTCCAGTGTCTTTCTTCATTGCTCTCCACCATATTTGTTTCTCTGTAAAGTATGTCAACTCAAAATTTCTTTTTAAACCCGGGGTGGTGGTGGTGGTGGTGGTGGTGGCAGCACATGCCTTTAATCACAGCACTTAGAAGGCATAGACAAGGGGATCTCTGTGAGTTCAAGGTCAGCCTGGTCTACGGAGTGAGTTCCAGGACAGCCAGAGCTATTACATAGAGAAACACTGTTTTTGGAAAAACTGAAAAATAAAAATCTTTAAAAATTTTACTTCACCCCTCTTTTTTTAAACACCAATTTTGGAGTCCCTTATTTTTTTTAAAAAATTTCAAATTAGAATATAATACACAGTTTTTCTCTTTTCCTTTTCTCCCCCTAAGCCTTCCCATGAACAGTGCTCCTTGTTCTCTCTTACATCCATGCTCTATTTCCTTAATTGTGTGTGTATCAGCACACCTACTCAGTCTGCATAGTGTTACTTGTAAGTATGATTTCAGGGCTGGCCAACTGGTCACCTGTTTTTGGGTTCCTCCCTCGAGAAGACTATTTCTTCTGTTCTCAGTGTTCCTTAGTTGCCTGAGGTTCTTGGTTTAGGGTTGAGAGCCTGTATGGTTCCCCCTCCCATGCCAGCATGCCTGTCTCGGCATCCTTGTTGAGGTCTTGTTCAGGCAGCCATGCTGATGAGACTTCATAGATGTAGCTTCTTTGACATGTGTAGGCGATGAAATCTGACGCCACCTTGTTTTTCAAGGCAGGGTCTCTCCTTGAACTCGGAGTTTCCTTTTCAGCCAGACTGACTAGCCAACAAGTCCCATGATCCTCCTGCCTCCACCTCCTCCATACTATGGTTACAGGTATGCCTGTATGTCTGTCTTTTATGTGGGCTCCTGGGCTCCGCACCCTACCCACTGAGCCATCCAACTAGACTTCTTTTTTTAAATTCATTTGGGAAAAGGGAAGGGAGTTTTCAGAGGTATGGAACCTGCTTATTCTAAGTTACAGTTTTCCTCGGACACAAGAGTAATTGCAGTCAGAGGTAAAATGAGATTTTTTTCTAGAGCCCAGGAAGAAACTGAGAACTGTGATGTCAAAGTTATCATTTGAAGGCATCATGACCTACAGCAGAAAATCTCAAGACAAGAGGTCTCTCTTCTTCCCATCCCAGTGCACTTACTTATTTACTATTTGGAGACAGAGTCTCATGTAGCCTAGGCTGTCCTCTATCTCACTGAATAGCCGAGGAAGAACTTGAACTCCTAATCTGCCTCCACACCAGAGGGCTGGGATCTCAACTGGGTACCACCATGGCCATCTTATTTGATACTAGGGCTAAAACCTGGCTTGTGTGTGGTAGGCAAACACTGTACCAACTGAGCTACAACTGTAGCCCCATTTCTGAATTAACAAAGGAAGTTTGAGGATAGTTTCCCAGTGCAATGGTGAAGATGGGACTGATAATTCTTGCTTGCTGTCTCATTTACCCTCTGGTCCTGTACTAGTGCCCTTCTCCACTTGGTTTTACGCACTCTGGTGTCTACTGGAGTGCCTGCTCATAAAACACCTGTCTCCAAAGTCCTGCTTGCTTTGAGGCCTGTTAAGGATGATTGGACTGAGGTAGTTCAACTGTGTCTTTGTTATAAATGTGTGTCTGTGTGTGTGTGTGTGTGTGTGTGTGTGTGTGTGTGTGTGTGTGTTAAGGCAGGGTCTCTCTATTATGTAGCTCTGGTTGTCCTGGAACACACCATGTAGACCAGGTAGGCCTTGAGCTCACAAAGATTGGCTTGCTTCTGCCTCCTAAGTTCTGGGACTAACAGTATACAATTTTGGGCAGTGGTGGGGCTCAGAAAATGATTCTCCAAAGCATGCTACTTTGGCCTGCTGGACACTCTGAGCTGAAGGTTTCTAGAAGGTCTTAGAAGCAAAGCCTACTCTCATCCTTTTACTTCCTGTCCCCTTTGCACCCCAAGGCTGGCCATAGGAACGAGAATTCCAGGCAGGGGAGATGTTCAGTTGTTAAGGTGCTTGTCTTGCAAGCACGAGGTGCTGAGCTGTACCCCCAGAACTCATGCAAAAAATGCTTGTGGTGCACAGGCACTGGAGACAGGGACATCCCTGGGGCCTATGGTCCAGCCAGCCTAATAGGTGAGTGAGAGACATTGTCACAAAATATGTGGCAGATGGTATCTGAGGAACAACACCTAAGGTTAACCTCTGACCTCCAAATACACGTACATACATGTGAAGATGAATCCATACATGTCAGCATGTACACACATACACACACTAAAAAATCCTAAATATTAAAAAAATAGGAAAGAAACTCCAACCCTCTTCACTCAAAGATAGCCATAAGCCCAAGAATTATTGTTTTGTATACCATTTCACAAGTGTAAGAGCTGGACACAGGAACTCTGGCTGCCCTTGTCTAACCCTGAATCAATCAAGACCTCATTACAGAAGGGTCCCTGTCCCACACTCACCATGCTGGTGTCTTACAGGGAACACCAAACTTGGAGCAGACAGGTCTATGTTGAGTTTCTCTGCTTCATTCATCTCTTATCTAATCTCATCTCCACAGGGATATGCATTTTTCATTGAATCTGAGCATAAAAATAGCTCCCCTTGGCTTTCGGGTCTTTATTTCTGAAGCCTTCTGTATCACATAGGATCCATCTCCCTTTCTCTCTCTCTTCACCCCTCCTCTCCCTCCCTCCCTCCCCCTTCCCACTTCTTCCTTCTCCCCTCTCTTTCCTCTCCCTCTTCCCTCCCATCCTTCCCTCCCTAATTGTTGGTCTTACTAATTTCTGAGACAGAGTGTCACATATCTCAGGCTGTGCTCAAACTCCCTGTGTATCTGAAGATGACTCCCACCCAATTGCTGGGATTTCAGTCATTCATCACTATGTCTGGTTATACAATGCTATGAATGGAACCCAGGGCTTCAAACACGTTAGGCAAGTAAGCACTCTACTGACCGAACTACATCTCTAATCCATTACATAGATCTTTGTTTTAAACATTTATTACGAGTTTTTACATTTTTTCTCATGTTAACCTGTCTTGTAGGTGTATCAGTCACGACCCTAATTATAGAGAATAGTTTCCCATCCTTTCTGCACCTATTGTGGTGGTCAGTCAGATGAATGGATGGTGGTCATGTGTGGTACATCTCACACTGCAACATTTTACAAATGGTGCCTAAGCTTTACCTCCCTTGTCATTACTGTTTACAGCTAGTGTGATGAAGCTGTCAAATTTCTGAAAGATCCACTATGAAGCCAGAGTTGGCACAACTGACTTTTATTTGTATAAGATACGAGGCTGGTATTTTGACTCTCTGGTAACTGAAAAAGAACACATGCAATCATCACTATCATCATTTTCTTTTCTTCTTCTCCCTCCTCCCCCTTATCCTGCTCCTTCTTTTGGTTTATCTGAGACAGGGTTTCTCGGTGTAGCCCTGGCTGTCCTGGAACTGTAGATCAGGCTGGCTTCAATGAACTCAGAGATCTGCCTTCCAAGTGTTGGGATTAAAGACATGTATCACCACTGCCTAGTTACAATTTTATTCTTTTAAAAAATACTGCTATTATTGTTATTTATTTGAGGTATATGTATATGTCCCCATATGAGGCAGACAGAAGGGCATCAGATCCCCTGAGCTGGAGTTATAGGTGGTTGGGAGCTGCTTGATATGGGTGTTGGGAGTCAAACATGGGTCCTCTGCAAGAGCAGTATGTGCTCTTAACCACCTCTCCAGACCCTACAATTTAATTTTCAAGGAAGTACAAATCAACCTGGAGATGTTTAAGTGGGCATTGCTGGTGAGTTGTCACAGATTCCTGCTCTTGTCAAGGATTCCTTCTGTGCAAAGCATAGAAGATAAAGAAAACCTGTTGTACTTGAAGCCTTCCTAGGAAGCTAGCTCTGGCTTTAAGAATTTCACTGACATTTCATATTCTAATAGTATGAGTATGTATGTGCATACATATGTGGATGTAGTTTAACCTCAGAAGTCTTTCCCTGGGAATGCTATGTACCACGAGACAGAGTCTCTATTTGGCCTGGAACTCACCAAGTAGGGTGTATTGACTAACTAGTGAGTGATCTGCTTGTCCCTGTTTCTGAAGTGCTGGGATTAAAAGTATGAGTTACTATGCCATCTACTTCACAGGAATTCTGGGGAAACAAACTCAGGACCTCATGTTTGTATGGCAAACTATTTATTGAATGAACTATCTCCTAGATTCCTGGGAGAGTCTTAAATTTTTTAATTAATTGATTAGTGAATCAATTATTTGCTTAATGTGTGCTTCAATGCAAAGGAAGGAGAAAACATGCTGTATAATCAGGACCTGATGGCTGCTGGTTGGTTGCCTAGGGGTTCAGGGAGGGCATTAGTACAGTCTGTGATTCCTTGGTTTGCATAAGTCCAACACTGCTATTGTGACTGTACTAGTGGATCAATGCTCACATCTGAGAGCCCAAACACCTAACTACAGTTCTTTCCTAATGGAAGGGCTTTGTTGGGATGAGAAAGTTCTATTGAGCCAAGTGACTTACTGCAGAGGATGAAGAATGGCATGGGGTCACCTCAGGAAGTGGGGAGGTATATGGAGCTCTTCTAACTCAGAGAACTTCTGTTGCCCTGTGGAAACACTTAACCGATACTTCTGGGACCTGTGGTTTCATAAAGGATGCTAGAGCATTTGATAATTTGTTTTGTTTTTAAATGTGCAATCTTCTACTTGTAGAAACGAAGTGTGGGTCAGACAAAACACATCTTGGCCCACAGGATGTGGGTTTGCAGTCTTTGGATGGGCTGCTATAGCTCTGACTGTGTGTTCTGGTGTATGAAAATGCCTTACTCCCTTTCCTTCCTGTTTTTATCAGGTTTACTAGAAAGCAGCACCCGGCTGAAACCTCATGAAGCCCAGAACTACAGGAAGAAGGCATTGTGGGTATCCTGGTTCTCCATTATTGTCACCCTGGCCCTGGCAGTGGCCGCCTTCAGTGAGTATCAGGGAGTCTTGCCAATCAATATTCGCCAGTTGCCTGACTTTCCCTCTAACCCCTGTGGGATGTGCTTTGCTTTTAGTTGACTTATTGATGAATACAATTTTTTTAGATGGTTGGATAGTCAGGGTACTCATGAATTAGTAAAACGGCTTCACTTCTCTGCAGAGGGAAGAGATATGAGAAAGAAATGAAGAGAAATAACTGAGAGCTTCAGGCTCATCAGTATTCAGGTTTGTGGAAGTGGATTCTGGCTGGCACCAACCGAATAGTGAAAATAGTCTCTTGGCAGATGCCTTCAGCTCAGGCTGACGTGACAAATACGCATCCCGGAGATTTGGATTTTGAGCCTAATGTAACTAGATGAGTGCAATATTGCAGCAAGCTCTCTCTCTCCTTTTCCTCTTGATTGTGTCTTGTGCAAGGTCAGGAATAAACTCGTATGTACAATTTTAATGAAAGGCATTCTCTTATGGTTTAGTGCATGAAAATAAATTAATTTCCTACAATTTTGAAATGCTATGAAAATGGAGCAATTTCTATCTGTAGATGATCTTGTTTGGGGATTTGGAATTTCTATGGTGGTTTTCTCCATTGGACACTCGCAGCTTATGAAACATGCATGTGCTCTTTATTTTTTTTTTAATTGTGCAATGATTCAAAAGCCTAAGCAGCAAGCTATGGCTCAACCTTGATAGGAATTGTACTTTTTTTTTTAATTCTCCTTTTTTTATGGTGGGGAACAAGGGATTGTGTTTTTATAAATTTTGTGACGAAAAGAAAGATCTGTGCTCTATGTGTTAAGCATCCTACAAGGTGCTTCAGGGGAGGAGGAAAAAGGACCGTGATCATTAGGCATCATAGGCGACATGGCTGTGAGTGAGTTGCTTAAAATTCTGTTCTGCCTCCTTTGATGGTTCTGTTGGAAGTTGGGGCTGGATCCCAAGGGGACAGGAATTAGAATTTGACCAAATGCTCCCTTCAAAGCTCAGCATATATTATTAGAGACAATTTATATCGGAAACAATGTATAATAGCCTGGCTCTAAAAAAAGCCAAATATTCAGAATACAGAAATAATATGTTTCAGGGAATAAACATTTATCAGTGAGCCAGAAATCTAATCAGGAGGAACTCTGACTTTTGAGATATAATAGCTTCTCTCTCCCTGCCTCCCCCTTTTTAATACTGAGACCAAAATAACAAGGCAATGGATGTCCCTTGAGGGCAATTTGGTTGTTGTGGCTGGTAGGGGGACTGGAGATCAGACATGGTAATTTACATATGTGAAGAAAGAGGAATGGAATGAAGGGGGGCCATTTACAGATAGAATAATAGCTCCTCATGCGTGACCCTGTGCCCCATAAACCTATTAGGGTGGGACATGGTCCTCTGAGGTTTTGAATGAGGACCTGAGCATGAGGCTGTAGTGAGTCTTTCCTTTGGAATAAGAGTGTTACATTTGATGTGCTTAAGCCATTTGACAGAGGGAGGAAAAAAAGGGAAGAAAACTTGGCTTCATTTGTAATACCCAACCAGGTGGGTTATTCTAGAAACATTCCATTTTCTTTGATGGAAAAAGACTGCATGAGGCTAGGGTACCGGTTTATGAAAGGGTTTCTTCTTCCGTTTCTTTTGAAAGCCGTCGTACTCCTTTATCACAGAACTATTTAACTTAAGTCCTGTAACCCCCTTTAAAGAATCATTTTACTGATGTCTATGTGTGTGCATGTGCTTGCCCGTGTGCCTTCTGTACATCCTAGGAGGCCAGAAGAGGGCATGGAGCTCTCTGCAGCTGGGGTTACAGCCAGTTGTGGGGCGTGGATGGGGGGGGGCTAAGCTCAGCTCTTTCGCAAGAGCAGCATGTGTTCTTGACCGCTGGCCATCTCTCCCGTTTCCTTTAACTTCTTGCCTATTACATGTGGATACTGCTGTATTGTTTACCATGACCTGTTACGTTCTGTATGCCTTTCATTTCATTTGTGAGTTGCTTCTAACTGTTCTGATTTAGTTAAATCCTAAAACATAGAAGATAAATCTTATTTTGCCCCATTTAAACTAGAGTGACTTCAGTGTGTGTGTGTGTGTGTGTGTGTGTGTGTGTGTGTGTGTAGGTGCATGCCTATGCATGCTGCAGAGGTCAGAGGGGATGTCTGGGGTCCTGCTCTCTTTCACCACTTTGCGATACCCTTGAGACAGGATATCTCACTGAACCTGGAGCTAGACTGGCAGCCAGCAAATCCTTGAAATTCCCATCACAGCCTTCTACTGTACTGGGGTTACAGGAACTCGAAGCTACACTTAGCTTTTTATGTGGGTGCTGGGGATTCAAACTAATGTCCTCATGCTTGCACAGCAAGAGCTTTATTGACCCAGCCATCTCGTTTTGATAATACTTGGTGAGATAATGATTTGGATGTGCTGAAGCATCAATATGAAACTATGGTGATGCGTCTTGGAATATTTCAGAGGGAAGTCCTAGTCTGATTTTAAAATATATTCAGTATATAATGGGCAGACGGTGTGGAAAATGCAATCTTCTCATGAACGAATGTGAGAACAGATCTGTTGTAATAATGAGGCCAGAGAGAGAATAAAAGCTCAGCTTCAAAACTTAGGGTTTTGACAACATTGATGTCTCTGTTAAGATGACTGGGGACAATGTGTTTCCGACTTTGGTTTTGAGATTTGAGTACAATAAATTTTAGGGACTGATTACCTTCCTATTTTGTGGGAAATGAAGATGTTCTGGAAACAACATCAAGGGAAAAATCTTTTTCTATGATGGTGTCTTAGTTTCTTTTTACTGATGTGATCAGATACAAAGCAATTTAAGGGAGAAAGTGGTTATTTTGGCTGATGGTTCCAGGGTATAGTCCATCAAGGAGGTAATGTCTCAGAGGCAGGAGCTTAAGGTAGCTGGTCTTGTTGCATCCACAGTCAAGAACCCAGGACACACCAAGGTTCCTGCTCAGTTCCTTTTCTCTAGTTTATGCAGTGTAGCATCCCTACGGAGGGAATGATGACACCTACAGTGGGCAGGTCATCCCACTTCAGTTAGCACAATTAAGATAATCCCTCCCAGGCAAGTCCAGAGGCTGGTTCCCCAGGTGGATCTGGATTCGCTCAAGCTGACAGATAACACCAACAAAACAACGACCTCAAACTAAATAACACGGCCCCCCAAAACACATGTACTCCAAACCAAGATCTTAGAATCTGAGTCTGCTCCCCAGGGCCCACGTTAAAAACAAACAAGTTGGGTGTGGTGATGCACATTTGTAAACTCAGTGCTAGGGAGGTGGGGACAGGAAGTCCTGGGGTCTCCTTGGCTGGCCAGCCTAGCCTAATTGGTGAGCTTCAGGCTAGTGAAAGATCCTGACTCAAAAAAACAAACAAACAAATAAACAAACAAACACAGATGCAGGCATGGTGGTGCATCCCTTTAATCCTGGTGTTTAGGAGGCAGAGGAAAGTGGATCTCTGTGAGTTTGAGGACAGGCTGGTCTACATAGTGAGCTCCAGGCCAGACAAAGAAGCTACATAGTGAGCCCCTGGCCTCAAAAAGAGACAAACAGGTGCTTGGGGAATGATATCTGCAGTTGTTCACACACACATGTTCTTTGTTCTTCACAGACGTGTGCAATAGCACACAAAACATGGAAGTGCAGTAGCAGACTTCAGAACAAGGAAATCAAATCTCTGAGAGGAGTGAGTTCTTTTTTTATATGTGGTGATATTTTTTAACATGCCTGCACATATGTCTGTGTTACCACGTGCATGTCTGGTGCCCAAGGCCAGAAGAAGTTATTGGATTCCCTGGAGCTGGTGTTACAGAGAGTTGTGAGCTACCCTGTGGGTGCTAAGAATTAAACCCAGGTCCCCTGGAAGAGCCATCTTTCCAGCTCCATACCTGAGAATTTTTTTATTTTATAATTTATTTATTTTTATTTTATTTGAATTGGTGTTTTTCCAGCATATATGTCTGTGTAAGGGTGTCAGACTTGTAGTTACGGACAGTTGTTAACTGCCATGTGGTTGCTGGGAATTGAACCCGGGTCCTCTGGAAGAGCAGTCAGTGCTCTCAATCACTGAGCCATCCCATATGTGAGAATTTTAATCTATTTGATTTTAAACTCTTGACCTTCAAGCAAGGTAATATAATGTGCATATATCCTTTTAGAAAGCTTTCCCATTTATTTATCATGTCTGTGCATGCATGTATCATATGTGGGAGTTGGGGGTAACTTCAGCTGTCATTCTCTCCTCCCATATGGACTCAAGGAACTAAACTCAGCTCCACAGGCTTGGTGGTAAGTCCCTTTACCAGCTGAGCCACCTTGAAGCCCACATCCTTTCAATTTCTATATTCTAAGGGTAACAGAAGTGAGACAGACCAAAGATCACATGACTCATCTGTATTAGGAAAGTCTAGACTTTCCAAGGTGTCCTCTTACTCTAGTGGATACATGGTCAGATAGAAAAGAACCAAGACAACTTACGGGACATGGTGACCACACATCTGTATTCCTGCCACTGTGAGGCTGAAGCAGGAGGACCGAGAGTTTGAGGTCAGCTTATGCTATAGAAGTGAGACGGTGTCTCAGAAAAAGAGAGAGAGAGAGAGAGAGAGAGAGAGAGAGAGAGAGAGAGAGAGAGAGAGAGAGAGAGAGAGAAGAAAAAAAGGAAAGAAAGAAGGAAGGGAGGAAAAAAGGAAGGAAGGAGCCTGAAAGTCCCTAGGGGCTTCCTGGATTCTAAGAGTAAAATATGAGCATATAGAATGTTATTTATTTATTTATTGGAATTTATTTTTGAGATAGGGTTTCCATGTGTAGCCCTGACTGTCCTGTAGACCAGGCTGGCCTTGAACTCACAGAAATCCTTCTGCCTTTGCTTCCCCAGTGCTGGGGGTCCAACCTGGCCTGACCTGGGACCCTTTGAACTTCAGCAGGCCTGGAGCCACATTCTTTGGTCTACCTTGGAATTACAGGACACATT